ACTCATTGGCAGAGATTTGTGAACTTGAGCAGATGCTATTCCCACCGCAGCTGAGGGTGGACGCCATAAGGTGCTGGTGACTGCCGCTGGGTGATGTGCACGCCTGAGGGACAAACTAAATCGCTTGCTCAGGCTTCCTCCCTCCTCGCTGCTTTAGGAGACCGGCTCACCCCGGTATCGGTGCCGGGTTGCTCAATCAGTCTTGTTTACTGACCAGAAATTGCATACAGTAAACGCAAAGCCATAAGTACTTCCTTGAGGATGATTTTACACTGCGGTGTTGTGAAGAGTCAGATGGAGAAAGGGCCCTTCTGCCTTGTTTGCCTTTTCAGACGTGCCAGGATGAGTCACCCTTGGCCTGCGGCATCACCTGTTGAAATTCAGGAGGAATGGTTTCTCTCATATCTGTCTGCCTACCTACGTGTGTCCTTTTCTGTATGTAATTGTCTTCTTTTTTTTTTAATGTTTATTTATTTTTGAGAGAGACAGACAGACAGTGTAACTGGGGTTGAAGCAGAGAGAGAGGGAGACACAGAATCCGTAGCAGGCTCCAGGCTCCGAGCTGCCAGCACAGAGCCTGACGGTGGGCCTCGAACTCCAGAGCCGCAAGACCATGACCTGAGCCGAAGTCGGACGCCCAACCGACTGAGCCACCCAGGTGCCCCATGTAATGTTCTTTTCTAATAAAAACAAAAGCTCTATGTACAGACCTAACTTGTAGTAAAAGATCAGATCTGATGTGCCCTTTTTTCCGTGCCTAATTTTCCAGAGGAGAACACTCAAGCCGCAGCCCTGTGGCCGAGAGCCTGCTCCGGTTAAGAAGTTGCTCTGTTTTCTCATGTACATTTTCCTTTTTGGTTTTTTTGTTTGTTTGTTTCTGCTGCGGACAAGTGTTGCCTTTGACCCCAAGAGCTCTGCACTTCCCAGTGTTCCTCCTCTTCACTAAATGTGGGAAGAAGAAACGGCCTATGGATTAGAGACTGTTCCAGGGCAGAAAGAGTGCACAGGGCTCCCAGAGTCTCCTTGGAGGGTCTCTGACGGACTGTCCTGCAGTCAGTCACCCTGCCATACTTGAAGTGGGGAACATTCTTGTAAAACAGGACATCCAAGATTTTCTCATCACAATCTTTCAGCCATCAGAGGAGAGTGGTTTTATACCAGACCGTGCGGAGGTGGCTCAGGGCACACTCCCAGAGGCACGTAATCTACCAGCGCGGTGCAAATGACATCTGTCAAACTCTGCGTGAAGTATACCAGCTTGGGTTGCTAGTTTTGAACATTAGCTCACGCTGCCTTTCTTTGGCCGACTTGTGTCTTTGCCAGGCTGGGTTTTCAGGGGCTGTTTGGACCTGACTGCTTCATAAACAAAGTAGCCACGGGCCTGGGGAGACCGTGGAAATTTTACTAAGCTACCAGGGGCTCCGTGAGCAGAGAAAGTTTGGGAACTTCTGTCCTAGCAGATCACCACTTGGGCACACCGCCAGCACCAGATGCCTTTTAAATCTGCTTGTTATGTATTATCGGTTCATGCAAATTTTATATTTCACGTGTCATAATATATTCACTGACATCTTCCTTCCATTCCACGGGTAGTTATTCTGCATTAGATTGTGTGCCAGGCACTGTGCCAGGAAAGTATGACCCTGGCACAGTGCTTGGGAGTGACAGTCGAGCTGAGATTGTCAGGAAGCAACTGGAGGAAAAGCATCTCAGGCACGTGTAAAGGCACTGGGGCAGGGGTGCAAAGACTTAGGCTGGGGATATAGGTGGGTGTCTTGTGTGTGTGCTTCAGCGTGAAAACAGTGACTCGGTGTGAAAATAATGGTTTAGCAGCTGTTCATGGCTTCTGCCCCAGTCACACTGCTGCTGTCCTCATATGGGAAGCGTAGGGGTAAAGGGCTTTCCTCTCAGCGTGGCTTCCTTCTTGCCAATCTGCCAGTCCTTCCTTTCCACTCTGTGCCAGATACAGAGGTACTTCCAATACTATTCCTCGTTCGGGAGCTCACAGCAGAGCAGGGGAAAGGCTCGTGTCTCTTAGATCATCCTGCCTACATGGGTCCTGAACACAGCCCTCCCCTGGGAAGCTGGGGCCCCTTTCTTGGTTTCAGCAGTCCTTGGAGCCTTCACTTCCCCAGAGTAGAAGGCGGCCTCGGATAAAATGATCATGATCTCCGGGTCTTTTCTACTGCTCCTCTGCCGCTCTTGTCTGAAGTTTTACACCTGCAGTCAAAGCTGCTCTCAGTGCTTTTGAGACCCCTGAGTGCTGGCCTTGTCCCCCGTCCCGGTCAGGCCTCAGGGCCTGAGCCCCACCCTGGCTTGCTGCAGGGAGTCAGCATCCCGGTGGGCAGTGCCTGGTCGTCTCCCTGGGGTGCAAGAATGTATGGGGTTGTTCCTCTGAACTTGAGGGGAGTGGCCCAGATGCCAAAGGAGGCAGTATGGTCAGGAATCAGAGCCAGAGGGAAGGAAAGTGAACGTAGCCTCACAAACTGCGGTAATGATGTGTTATCTGTGTGATGCTTTGCAGATTATAAAGCCACCCGGTAATCTGTATGTCAGGCTGTGAACAAAATGAAGTCCCTGCATTTTGGGGCTGACCCTGCAGTCAGTGGAAGGAACGTATAACGTAATGCCAGGTAGTGATCAGTGCTGAGACGGAGTATGGGGAGGGAGAACGACCAGAAACTATACTGAGGCAGAGTCTCTCTGAGATGGTGACATCTGAGCAGAGATCTGAACGAAGTGAGGGAGAGAACCCTACAGATAACTAGAGGAATGGAGTCCAGGCAGCAGCATTAACGTGTGCAAAGGCCCTGAGGCAGGAGCAGACCTGGAGGCTTGAGCGGTAGCAGGGAGGCCAGTGTGACTGGTGAGGAGAGGTGAGAGCGGTAAGAAAGGTGGAGGGGGCAGAGCTTTTAGATTTTGTGCTCAGTAGGACTTGAAACCATTTGAGGATTTGGGTTAGGGAGGTGACTTGATCTGGCTTACTTTTTAAAAGGCTCTCTCTGGCTTCTGCATGGAGCAGGCCCCTTAGAGGTCTGTGGCAGTGGCCTGGGCAGCTGGAACCAAATGTGGGACTGTGAATCCACTGCCCTCCGACACACCATCCCTGCGGGAGCCCCCTGCAGAATGAGCTTTCTAGATGGCGTGGGCAGCTCACGTAGGTGTCAGGAAACGATCATTGGTCGTTTTCCTTCATGGCCAGGAGTCTCCCCGCAGTAAGGGGGGCTGGGTGGCCTGAGTCAGGGGGAGAAAGGGCCATGGGACGGGGAGCTGACGTTTGCTGTTCCGTGAGCCGGTGGGGGGCAGGGGGGCTTTCCTGTGTCAGCCGGGCTCCGAGGGTCTGCACGGCATGACCCTGTGGGACGGATCCTCTCCCTCCATGGTTCTGTGAGAGCTTGGCAGACAGAAGACCTGTGGGTGTGCCAGACCACACTGGCAGGGTTGGCCAGGAGGACGTGCAGAACAAACATTGAATAAATCTTCAACGTGCGTGAGTTCATCCTTGAATATGAAATATATCAAATATGATTATCGCAGGAACTGAGTCATTAGGAAAGCACCTCAGATGAACGAGAAAGCAGACAGCTGAGCCCAAGAGTCTGCTCTGAGTGGCCCGTGCCCGACAGGCCCCAGAAGGGCAGAGCTGGTGCCGGGGCCCTCGGATGCCAGAGCAGCTGCGGGGGCCAACCCTGGAGTTGTTTCCCAGCGGCCGGGACAGCGAGCGGAAGGCAGATGTGAGGCAATCTCCCGTGCCTGAGCTGCCGAGATGTGACGAAGGCTTTCCCCGCTGAGGCTGGGAAGCCTGGTAGTGGTGAGAGCTGCCCACTTGGTTAACGGCGGCAATTGCAAAATCGAGTGACGAGGTTGCAGAGGTGAGCTCAGCCTCGATAAGTGGCAGAAGCGTCCTGCCAGGCTTTCAGGTTCCCCACGTTGCCCTTTGTGGACTCGGACCTGCCTCTCTGCTGGGTTTCGGTGGTGGCAGGACCAGGGGGGGCATCTTTCCAGGGAACGAATGAGGTTGGTGTGCTGAGGGTCCCCGGGACCACTGTCAGGCTCCATGATTCGCCAGGACTCGCAGAGCTCAGAAAAGCTCTCTCACCCCGTTGCAGTTTATTATGGCAGAAGGATATTACGGCACAGACAGAAACCAGCAAAGGAGAAGGCTCCATAGGCCGAGTCCGGCAGAAACCAGGCACGAGCTTCCAGTTGGCCTTGCCCGCTGGAGTCAGCAGCCAGGGCTTAACACTCCCAGCAACGACGCGTGGCGACACATATAAAGTGTTACCAACCAGGGGGGCTCACCGGCCGCCTTCATGTGTGGGGTTTGTATGGGAGTCAGCCTAGCAGGCATGGAGCGCCACATCGCTAACCTCATCTACCCTGTCTCCCGCATCCCGGACGTCAAACCCAGACAATGCGGTCGAGAACCCCAGCCCTTCATCCTGAATGACATGGTTAACGTGAACCATCTGAGCCTGGCCGAGCGTCTCAGTAAACCATCTGTAAGGTCCACGCTCATCAGGCGGCGTCTTCCCAGGGCTCAGAAGTGATTTCCCAGCAGCCGTCCAAGGGCCAGCCCTGGAGGCCTTTGGAATGTGCAGGGTTTAGGGCCACCCAGGCCTGTCACACAGTTGGGGAAAAGATTTGCCTCGAAATGGTCCCCGTTCTCATGTGGAACCAAGCCCATGTGGGGCTGGAGGAGGCTCGGTGTCCCTGGGAGCCTGTGGCTTCTGTTCTCTGTTTGCAGGGACCCCAGTCCCAGCTCCATCTGTAGGACGTCCTTGGGCTCCACAGGGCCATTTAATATTTTAGTTTCCACCCAAAGCTGCAGCTGTGTCTTGGAGGGGCCAGCAGCTCCTGCCCCGGTGCCTTGCCTGCTGCTGTAGCCCTTGGGGCCCTGAGACCCAGGCTGAAGCTTTGAGGGGTGGGGGTGCGCCCCTGTGGGCCTCAGGCAGACCCTACTTCTCCCTGCTCATACGTGTCCCTTTCTCTCCCTGCAGATTCCTCTCGCCATGGGGGATTCCAACGTGGATGCCAGCGCCACAGTGTCTGAGACAGTGGCTGAAGAAGTGTCTCTTTTCAGCATGACGGACATGATTCTGTTTTCACTCATCATGGGCCTCCTGACCTACTGGTTCCTCTTCAGAAAGAAAAAAGACGAAGTCCCCGAGTTCACCAGAATTCAGCCAGTGTAAGTGACTGTGTAAGTGTAAGTGTGTAAGCGACAGTGTAAGTGATTCAGCCAGTGTAAGAAATCCCTCTCTGCGTTCCAGAGCCCGTCCATCAGTCCCAGCGGTGCCCTGTCCTCAGACCTGGGTCAGGAGAGAGCCAGGCGACAGAGGTGCAGGTGGCCTTGCCGCATTTGGGGCTCAGTCGGGGACATCGCCTTATCGGTGGCCTGTGCCTCAGAGCTACCTTAGCCTAACCCCTCGTGTTTCCACAGCACGTTAGGGTTTACGAGGTTCTTTTACGTCTGTCCGCTTGTTCGAATCTCTCGTTGGCACCTCACAGGGACCAGAGTACAAGGTGCCATTTCACAGGTAGATAAGCTGAGGTTCAGGGGCACTACAAGTACTGCCCGAGGTCCTTAGCACAGGGCAGAGCTGCAGCCGGCACCCGGTTCGTGTTTGACCCCAGGCCCGTGATCTTTCTGTCTATGACAGTTTTGTGAACAGATGGGTCGTAGCGGAGCTATTGGCAAAGGACCACGTCGGGAGGCGCAGCTCACTGTCTTTCCGTCCTGTTGCATCACTGACATGGACAGGGTTGCAGTTTGGTGCTGATGCATCTTTACCACCTAACGCTTGCCAATTTCCCTTTTCAAATGAAGAGAGCAGCCTCAAGCTTAGAGCTTTGGGGGCGACAGCAGAGGAGGAAAACTGGTTTTCTCTTCTCCTCGAGACCCGCACTGAATAGTTCTGTGACCAGATGTATGGGGAGTTCTTGCACACCCTTGGGATGCCTCCAGGTGTGAAACCGTCTGCCTGGAGTTAGCCTCGGGTCCTCCGGGTGGGGGGCCCGGTCCCACAAGACTGCCCCCAGCTTCAGACACGAGTCTCAAGTCCCAGCATCACTTGTACTTATCAGCCAGAAACCAGAGCTAGAAACCAGCCTCCTCAGGTTTGATTCATTGGCTGCTGTGGCTCACAGAGCTCAGGAAAGCAGTTTCCTTATTACAAGGTTACCAGTTTATTTTAAAGGATAGAAGACAGTAATAGCCAGGGGCGCCTAGGTGGCTCAGTTGGTTAAGCGTCCGACTCCGGCTCAGGCCGTGGTCTCACGGTTCATGGGTTCAAGCTGCACGTCGGGCTTTATGGTGACATCTGCCCCTCCTCCAGCTCCTGCTCTGTCTCTCTCTCTCAAAAATAAACATTAAAAAAAGAAAGAAAGAAAGAAGTCCTTAACAGCCAGATGGAAGAGATGCAGAGGGCAAGGTATGGGGAAAGCTGCCGAGTTTTATACCCTCGGTGGGGGCGCCACCCTCCCAGCACCTCCAAGGAAGTGTTCAGCAGCCTGACACTTGAAGTTCTCCAAACCCTGTGCTCTTGGGTTTTAATGTAGGTGTAGGTGCGACTGATTAAATCATCTGCTGCTGGGGGTTCATTCACCCACCAGTTCCCCCCTCCCCGGAGGTCAGCAGCAGGCCTGGAAATTCACACCCTCTGACCACATGGTTGGTTCCCCCTGGCAACCATCCCCATCCTTCAGGGCTTTCCAGAAATTGCTTTATTCACATAAACTCCAGAGTGGCTGAAAGGGGCTGGTTATGAGGAAAGGAAGACACCTTTATTGTTTTTATCACTTAGGAAATGCCAAGGGTTTTAGGAGCTCTGTGCCAGAAACAGTACAAAACCCAAATTCGTATTTATTATAAGTTACGATATCACACACAGTCTCCAGCTTGAGTTTGCTAATGGCACTGTTTGTTTTTTAATGTTTTTTTTTTTTCCTAAGTTTATTTTGAGAGAGAGAGCGTAAGCAAGGGGAGGGACAGAGAGAAAAGGAGAGAATCTCACTGTCAGCACAGAGCCTGACATGGGGTTCGATCTCATAAACCTGAGCCAAAACCAAGAGTCGGACCCTTAACCAACCAAGCTGCCCAGGTGCCCCCATGTTCTTTTTACTTTACTGATGTTTTTCAACCTTCCAGAAAGCTTCCTTGTAAGAAGTTTAAGTACAAAGGTAAATTAGCTTAATGAAAATATTAAGAGTACAGATGGTTGTTAGCTATAAAAACATGACAGTGAAGGAGTGACATGGTGACGAAACCACTGTCCCCTCAAGACTGAGTTCCGAATCCTTCCTGCAGTCAGGTCACTTCTTCACATTCGCTGTTGGCTATGTTCTACCCAAACTCCAACCCTGGACACCTGCAGGCAGCTTTGAGTGAGGCCCTGTGCTGAGGGAGCCCTGGGGCCCAGCCCTGCCCTTGGGGGCTCCCTGAGTCCTGCCGGGAGTGGGTCTCAGGTGCAGGCCGTGGTTTCACACACTCGGGTCCAGGATTCCCCAGGCTGGGCAGGCTGGGCGCTCAGGGTCACATCCCCTCCTAATTCCCTCTCCCAGTTTTGGTAACCATTGTCTCCCTTGGAAAAGTTACGGTCTTCAAGCATCACAGGAGATATTCAAAGGACTCAGTTCTTGTACCACTGACAGGACATTAGTTTCCTGTTTGCCGGAAGCTCAGCAGATATCCACTGAGGCCCCGCTGTGTCCCAGGTAGCCACAGATAAAATAGAGGAAGTCCCTGTGTTCGAGCTCACATCCTGGGTGAGGTCCTCCCTTCACCTTGCCTCAGTTTTCCCCTCTGGAGGGGAATGACCCCACCTCCTGGGGCTCGTGTGAGCATTAAGTGAGGTGCTGGAGGTGACAGCACCTAGTATGTTCCTGGTGCTGGTGGCTGCTGAGTCTGTCAGAGTATATTTCGTGTCAAGAAGACAAAGGTGGTGTTTACATTAACAAAACTGAGCCGTCAGGACGTTGAGAGGTACTTGTAGAAATGCTTTATGAAATGCTTTTGTGTGCATCGCCTAAGCATGGCCTCTGCGACAGCCCGGCACGCTGGGCAGGGCGTGGCTGGGAAGTCTCAGGGCCAGGCCAGGAGACACAGGCTCCAGGAACTCTGAGAAAGAGGGGGCAGGAGGGTGTGCTGAGGGAGGTGGTGTTGAGCAGGTCCTAGAAGGTGCTGCCACATCCCGAGGCTCAGAGGGCTTTGCCCGCAGAGGGCCAGCGGGTGGGACTGGCAGGCGAGCAGGAATCCGGCCTCTTGCATCTGGGGTTGGTCCAGCCAGGTGCCTTCCTGGGGTGGAAAGTATTTTGAGGGGGGGGGGGGGGAATGTGGTACTCAAGATAAGGGATCAGTGTCCGGGTCCCAGTTTCCAGTGGCCCTGAGTTTCCTTGTCTGTAAAGCGGAGATGTCCCACCGCACTCCAATAGAGGACGTGGGCGTGCCATAGGAGCACATGGAGCCACCATCCTCCCCGTCACCTCTCCAGCCTCATGAGATGGACCTGAAATAAAACCAAAAGCCTAAAGTTTGTAGATTCTGTCTCTTTGCGGGGATGCTAAAACTGCCCTTCCCTCTTCGTAATCCTAAAGTTTCAGCCTTCCTCTTTCTGTGTCCGCTCGCTCCACAGGGTCTCTTGTCCCTCGATATACCATGTGGAAGCCTGCTGGGGCCGGGTCATGTGTACCCTCCGCAGGGGACCCCTTCACAGTGCAGGGGATATGTTCTAGGGCCCAGAGTTGGGTGACAAAGGTTCTAGTCCTGCCTCCATCACCTAGAAGGCACGTGAAGACGTTGGCCGTGACTTTATCTTTTTTATGTCTGTGCTCTGGAAACGATAAGCGTCCTTATCTCATGGGGCTGACACTGAAATGACATCATCAGTGAGCGCTTTGCCCAGGTCCTGGTGCTCTTGGTCATGGCCTTGCCCTTGAATGGCACGTATTATTGTTTTTATCCTTACTATTAATATCACATCCTGTCTCACAAGAGCCCTACAAGGAAGGCTTTATTACCCCACTTTGCCGATGAGGAAGCTGAGACGCAAGTAGCCTCGGAGTTTGCCCAAGTCACGTCACTTACAAGTCGCAGGGCCAGCTTATCAAGCCACACCTGCAGACTCCACAAGCCACACTTCCCCCTTTGCCACGCTGCCTGATTTCAGCAGGGCCCCTCGTGGACTGCGTGGGGGGCGGATGGAGGGTCATCGGGAGGCAGGTGGTGGGGGGCGCTACAGGACGTGGGCCCGAGAGAGATGGGGAGGCCAGAAAAGGGAGTCCCGGGGCTCGCACAGTGAGGGCACAGTTGATGGGACACGCGGGCCTGGCTGGGCGTGAAGAGTCTGCACCAGGCAGCTGCTCAGAGCAGGTTTGGGAAACGGGGAGACAGGATGCCTCTGGGCGTAGGCGGAGCAAGGGAGCAGAGCAAAACCCAAAGTGTAGAGATTTGGACCCTTTGCAAGCAGCAGGGGATGGGGTGACTAGAGAAGAGAGGCCAGGCTGCTAGAAGGAAGACACTGGCTTTTTCTCTTAGGCTTTTGTTTCTCTTGTTAAGGCTGAGCATGAGCTGTGGGTAGCAGGGTGAGGCCACTCGCCACTCCTCTGTCTCTCTGGTCCCTGTGGCCGACAGGGGGTGGTGAGGAGCAAGAGACCAGGGAGGGTCAGAGGGAAGGTCAGTTCTGGAAGGACTGTTTTGTTTTGTTCGTCACCTTTTTGCTGAAGTGTATATAACATGCAAACAGAAGGACACGGGTCGTAGTGCACGGTTTGAAGGACGTGTGTAACCAAAATGGCCCCATGTTGTCTGTGTCACGGAGCATGCACTCTGAGGTTTACGTGGAGTTCTTTGGTCTCATTTGGTATTCCATTCTGTGAATAATCTGTGATTTATTCTTTCTGATGATGACGGACATTTCGACAGTTCCCGGTCGGGAGAACAGTTGCAAACAGTGCTACCGTGAACATTCTGGTAGGTGTGTTTTAGTCCCCATAAGGCCGTGTTTCTGTTCCGTGTGTGCTGTGACGTGGCACTGGCAGGTCATGGGCACGTCCCCTCCTCACGCTTACTTTTATCACCTTTTTTATCGTAGCCACTCAAACAGGCGTGTAGTAGCATCCTGTCGTGATTTGCGTTTCCCTGAAGACCTACGACCTTGTCTGTCATAATGTTTATTGGCCATTTAGATACCT